TCGCGAGACGTTTGTCCTGTGCGGCGAGAACTTTATTTTTAGCGTAACTTACTAAGATTATACGTCCCATCAAGGCCTTAATAGCGGTGGGGTCCATGTGCTTCGATCGACGTGTCTTTGATTGACGCTTTGTGGCGAAAATCATGTTTAGTTAGCTGGTGTTCTGGTTCGGTCCATGATTTTTTTAAATTATGATTGCTTCAGAACACCTTTGAAGTTGGAGTATGGGAGCCAGTGGTAGTCGAGCTGAATAACGACGAAAATATACCACCAGCATCATTTGCAGCTGGCGACTCACTTGATACTGTAGGTTCATTTTTCGTGTCTTTCTTGATCTTATTTTCTCAAAACGTGTTGCTATGTGGAGTGGCTTCTTTTTTCCCATCGTTTTTTCTTCTTCTCGTTTTTATTGCTTGATCAAAATAAGCTATTTTGAAAAGAATTCTCAACCTGCTCTCATTATTCTCATATGCTACGTTTTGTGGCAATTTTCCCGAGAACTATCGATTTGGGGTGATTACTGATACCTAAATTTGAGAAACATTCACATCTGTGCTTGACAATTAGATTGGTTCTTTAGCATTTACAAGACAAAATTAGTGAAGCTTGCGATATTCAGTGTCGATTTTCTCCAACCATACGTGTAAATTTATTTGCCGTAGTTAGTTCTGTTTTCTTAAGGTTGGATTAATGTCTTCATCAGTTCGAACTGGAGGTGATTTATCTGACGATGATGATGCTGATGCAGTGATGATGTTTGATTTTTCGAAGTATCTCGCGGAGAAAGCTGGTAAGGAATAATCTGCAGCTGCAAATATTCGGTACTCACCTTTCGGAGAGAGCTGATATTTCTTCATGAGTTATTTCAAATACTGACTTCACTCCTTTATTCGGAAAGTAATCCCCTAATGCTAACCGAGGCACTGTTTCATTTCAGGTGCTACGAAATCTGATTTCGCAGCTCCACGTCCGGATATTCAGCCGATTGGTTGGGGTGGTTTTGATGATAGTGTACCAGATACGCCATTTGTATGTTTTAGACATTTGTTTCAGTTTCGGTTTTTGGGACCTCTCTGTTTTCATTATGAAAGTAGACTTGTGGCTGTGCATAATAAAGTAGACTTTAGGCTTGCTGTGGATTCTTTTTAAGCGTAACAATCTCTGTTTAGCAAATTCTCGGCAGCGCTTCGAATCAAATAGATATGACAAGTCTCATGGCTGATCTCCAAAGTAAAATTCTGCCCCATTTACCCAACGTGTGGACGCCTGCAGAAGAAAAGACCGGCGTACTCGTTGATGTTGATAGTGTACCTACTCCTCCGAAAAAGTCGACCGCTCCTGCTTTGCAGAACATTGGCACTACTGTCCTTGAACCCACAAAAGTAGGTGTTCATCGATTCTGTCATTTTCTTTATTTGAAATATTATGAAACAGATTGTATTGTTATATTGGTGTTTTAGTTGTATTTGGACAAAATGGAAATGTTGGAGGATCGTGAACGTGCACAAAAAGAGGAAATAGTTGATCTAATGCAGTTTGACGAAGGAGGTGAGTATAGATTTTTTCTCCTGAAAAAAGGTAAGCATGAATGCCTTTCAATTGCGATGTAATTCGGTTGTTGCAGATGACATGGACTGTAGCACTGCCGTTGAATGCTGTTCAGACGATGAGTACGCTCAGTTAGAAGATGGTGAGCGTCAAAAGTATGAGCGTGATCATTCTGTAGTTATCAATCGAAAGCTGTCTGAGGTAATGAAGAAATTTCGAGAAAAGATCAAGCATAGTTATCTATCTGTATTAAGGGAGAGATTATTGCCCCAGAACTGCCCAGCTGGCAGAATCGTTTTTCGTTTGCTTCGGCGTCTCTGTCGTCGACGTGTTTGGTATCGAATGGCACGGTCTCGTTAGATTATCATTCCGAGTCACTTCTCAAGGAAAATCCCTACGGTGTTTCTCCTCGTTTGCTATTGACGGCTCTCACAACATCCAATGCGAACGACGGTTCGTTTTTTTGTATTTTCATTTGCTTACTTAATCTTTACTTAAACTTAAGATGATAATTATCACTGAACACTATCAGCAGCTTTCATGGTTAAAAATAGCTCGCTCTTTATGGATATCACTTCAGGCATCAATCTGGAACGGTTGGAAACTATAGGAGATTCGTTTTTGAAGTACTCGGTCACAGATTATCTCTACCATTCACATCCGGACCAGCATGAAGGCAAATTGTCCTTTGCTCGGAGTAAAGAAGTAAGTGCTACCTTTGCTCGCCTGAAGGTGATGAAAATTGGATTCCACAGCTTCTGGTGGGAAATCCTCAACATCACACTTACCATT